ACTGAGTATTAGCGCGCGGCCCGAAGAGACAATGGCGGTGGGTCGCAAAGGCCTTAAAAAGGACCTTATGCACTCTGCTCAGTGGGTCTCCTCTTTGGAAATGTCCTTATACTGCCTTCTTGCCTTTGACCGCCGATACTCTCACAATTGTCCTCTGAGCCGCTTGCCGAAACAAAGGGATGTTCGAGAACTGACTGCGGTAATAACTCCTGATCGGGAGCGCGCGCGGTGATTTTGATGGCGGGGCAGCAGACGAACTTCCTGTCAAACCGATGCATTATTTGTATGTACAGGGTGAGCTAATTCCGATAATTTTGGAAGGTTGTTTTTATTTATCGAAAAGATGAAGAAAAACAGTTAGGATGTCGTTAACAGTGTGTAAGATCGGATGTTCTATTTACACAAGGATAAGTTTAGGCCATATCTTTTTAACGTTTACACTGTAAAAAAATCGGTGTGAGTGAAAGCTATAAAGGTACGGAGTTATTCGATTGAGTGAAATTATTGAGTATATTTTCACTCAATACTGAGCATTTTGATTATTTTATTCATTTGTATATTTATATATTTAAACTAAAACTGACTACTCCTTCCTTAAATAAATTCTTCACGTAAGCTCGTATTTGGTGCACTTGTACCTAAATCAGAGTAAATGTCCTCATTGCTGAGTGAGTTTAAATGTATATTCTCTAATCTCGACCACAGTTAATGTGGGCCCGTTAGATGGTCCAGAAAAGCGTAATCGCTAGGAGAACAGGCCTTAACCGGCGGCGGCGAGTCTCAGCTGACGAGTCTCAGCCAGGACAGGAGGAGGCCCCGCGTAGTAAATTAATTTCAACACCGTACCTATATCATTTATTCATTTTTGCACTCAATATTTAGTTAATTAAAAACCAAGTCTGAGTAAAAAATGACTCAATAATAGTTACATTTAAATCATATTAGAGAAAAAGTCAACTCTAAATTGGTTTTACGTACTCAGAATAGTCAAAATTGGCGCAATTAGTAGTTAGTAATAACTCGGATTTGAGTAAAACTCACTCATTTCTGATGCAATAGTTTCACTCAGTTGTACTCATACTAATAGAGTGAAAATTTCACTCAATCGGGTGTGGACAAAAATTGATACATTATTGAGTGACATACCGAGTGAATTTTTTTTTCAGTGTAAATTCAAAAGATCCAGAAAAATATCTCATTACAGCTTTTACATTTTTCATTCTGATTGGGATAATAACTTCAGATCGTGGCAGTCAACGAACTTTCTGTCAAAATTATGCATTATTTGTATTTCAATGATAACACAAAAGTTAAAATAACGTTTTTAAATATTTTAACCTACAATTGAGTAACCATTAAAACGTTACACTTATTTTACATACAAATGTTCCGCAAATCAATGTTACTTTTAGGGAGAATTTTGACATTATTTTAGTTTTTCAACAGTGAAATTAAACGTCCCATTTAGCACTTAACAATTTTTTATATGTAATATAATCTATACATATAACGTTTCCTATAAATTATATTCATACGCAGTAAAAAATCAATATAACACATATTTTAACAAGCTAACTCAAAAGTTATTTAATGTTATCAATATAAGATTTATTTGGCTAACAAATTGAGTGAACATTACTTAACGAATAGTGTTATTTCAACACAATTGGGTGTGGATTCGTTTCATCAAAATATATTGTGTTGATTTTGAGTGAAAATTTACTATTTATTTGTGTATTTATCAACGTTGAAAATTCGTGTAATTAAAGCCATTCTATTTTCAACTTTCAAAGTTGTCAACCAAATCTGCGTTATTTCATCATGTATCATGTTCTCGTTGAGATGCATATGATGAGTTAATTTCAGTAACAACTTTTGGGAGTTCGTCCCAAAAGGATAGAAAATCAGTAATTAGAATGTAGTGGATTGGATTTTCGAGGAAAATTGAATGACAAAAACAGCATCTCGATATCGATTGAGAATTAAAGCGTTTATCATTTTGACCATTTGTTTGAGAAAACATTTAATTTTTCTACTACGTTTTTCTAGCTCTTCAGAAAATAGGAAAGACCATATAAAATGTTGAAATTGACTCATGGCGGTACATGATTATCTATTATATTTTACTCTAATATTATAAATGTTATTTAAAAAAAAATCTATATACCGAAGTTGTAGATATTTTTTATGTAATAGTTTTCAATGAGTACCTACAACATGTAATGAAAATATATTCCAAATATTTTAAATTGAACACCTGCTGTATATTTTAACGTATTCTCTCTCTTATTCGTATTAGGTTTGATGGATCTACCTCCCGTAGTATTATAGGAGCTATATGTAAAATACTGTTTAAAAATACTATGTGTAAAATAGTATGTTATGTGTTAGATCGCCAAACACCACAAAGTTCTTTTTTTAGTTTAAATGATATCGCTCTCTTTCTTCAACAATTCTTTTTTTAGAGGAATATATGGTAAAGTAAATTTAAAAATTCCTTATGTGAGGCAAGGGCATTTTAATTGAATTATTTTTGTTAAACCAAAAAACTTGCTTTGAAAAAAGACATAGATTGAATATGTATAATAAGGAATATATTTCAATAAGTATAACAACTGTCGGTTTATGAACGAAAATAGATTGTAAACTAATTTAAAGTGAAACGATTTTATTTTCAGTACTGGCAAAAACAGACATCATTGGAAAACGAAAACAAATTATATTAAAGTTATCAAGCAACAAAATTTGATGAAAGCTGTATATGCACTGGATATAAATATAAATAAATCAATTGAATTGTCAGTTTTGCAAGACAACAATATGTATAAAATAAAATTATAACCTACAAGATCCCAAAGACTGTAGCAGTATGGTCTCTTTCTTTCTCATTAATCCTAAAAGGAAAATCGCGTTTAAGTTTTAAAAATAATTTTACTAGGATAAACTAACAAAGAATTATGCTCAGTTTGGGCCTCATGAGAGGAGATATGTAACATACATGAATGAACAGGAGACCCTTTAAGATGCATGAAGAAGTTAGTTTCAACAGACTACTTGAAGTCTGGTGGTTGTACGGACTCTTCATTGAGACGTAAGACAGTGTGACGTAATGGGTAACTAGTAGTAGTTCCATACAGGGGATCGACTTCTGAGTTTTAGTTAGGTGATTAAATAATATATGGAAGAGAGTCCGGGTTTTCCATCCACCATATTGGATCCAACATGTTGAACCTTGATCGTGGGTGACTATGTTCATCTTCACACAGTTATCAATGGAACATTTTCGGTTTGCCTAAATTTGCACTTTGCTCTCTGGTAATATTTCACATTTTTATTTTAACATTACGTATGTTAAAGAGTCAAAGAATCTATTTACCTTATGAGAACTGATGTCACATGATAATAAATAATATAAAATTAATATTCTATTTTCCTAGATATGTTTTTTAAAAATAATAACATATACTCACTGGTAGTCTTTCAGAAACTAAAATGTGAAAATCAGTTCAAGGAAAATCTGTTGGAATTTTATGGTTTCTTACCGTAATGTAATTTCTTTTAACAGAACAGAAACTTATTTTTTCCTTTTTGCCCACCCTTTCCATTTCCTCCTGGCTGGGTAGGTATATAATTACAACAGAAATATTATAGCGGTAATCAGTTATTTATCGTATTTTAGTTAAGGAAATATAGATAAACGGTTATATTTACTTCAAAACAGAATAAATGTGTAGCAATTTGTTTATATCATTGTGACATTAATCCGACACAGGTAATATCAAACAATTTCGATCATAAATAAATGGTTGTGGTATAAATTTTAATTGTTCAGCAAAAAGTAGGACAGATGGGCAGCCTGGTTTGAATTGAATGGTGATGTACGTGAATCAGCAGCCGCAAGCCGTTACAAAAAATACATACATAATTTTCAATTTAATGCGAATTATCCTTACTTAATTACATTCATATCAATAACAAACATAAAATTACGCGAAATAATAGATATTTTTATATGCATCTTCTTGAAAGACGTATTTACAAGACTTGAGTAAAATTTCGACAGTACTTTCATTACTATCCGTTATAAATGGAAAATAAGTTTACTCTTTGTATATTGTCATAATTGTTAGGAATTGTTAACATACTTAAGTACTATTTGCACTTTTACCAATTACAAAAACGTCAGATTGCAGTTTCAGCAAATTATTTATTTAATCTTATTTATTTCTAGTTCAAGTTTGAAATGTTTATTCAGCCTGGATATGTATTTGTAGCAGATACCGTAACCGATCATTTATTAATTCGATCTGAAACACTACCCACAAAAAACTGTTCTCTGGTAGATTAAAAAAGAAGTTACAAATTAAAACCGATGTAAATGTTTGGTAGAATCTCATGGGAGAATGAAGTATCCTTGGTTAGTTAATTATAAATACATTAATTGGTGATCGTTATCTTTGTCAAAAAAATTTAGAAAATAATCGATTCAGGAAACAAAGCAGGTGCAACGTGGAATCGCTCTGCTATATAGGGTGTTAATTAAGTATGTGCATAAACTTAAAGGGGTTGTTCTTTTAGTGATATCAAATCAAAAAGATTATTTAAAGATGGCTCTGCAAATCTGTAGTTTTGAACATTGTAATTTAAAAAATCAGTATTCCTAAAATATATCTGAACACGTTTGGTGCAGAATGCTGAAACTTAGGTTAAAGCTATATCTAATTCCATTAAATTGGGGTATAAATACGTGTACCAGTGGCGAAAATACCGGAAATTATTTTCACTAAAAATCACAGAAATTCAGCACAACTGAATGTTTGTAAAATTGTAACTACTTGTAACTCTTGTGGTATTTCAATACTCTGTTTATCGAAAGTTATCGATTTTTGGGCTTACGTTTATAATAACCTTTTGGACTTAAACTCATTTAGAAAATGTATGTGCACAAACTTAAAGTTTGTGTATAAAAACAAAAATGTTGATTTATTTTTTTCTTCCAGATCCGTCACAGGTTTGGTTGCTACGACGAAATTTCCCTCAGTGGTTCAAGGAAGGTTAGGCACTGTAATTGGGTCAGATTTGTCAGGGTGGCGAATGCGTTCAATCCGTCAGTCAATTTCGTCGCTACTAAAGTCCGAGGAGAGCCCGTCTATGAAGCAGTCAAACCCATCCCGCCAGACACAGAATTACTTGTATATTACTTGCCCGAGAGACCTGAAGAATTGTTTTTCGTTAGGATGCGAGCGTCCCTGTACAGACAGACTATGGACTCAATACTTGAAGGTAGGCTGTTTCTCTAAACTTCAGGTACTCTAAACAGTAAATAGACGCAGTGTTTCAATGAAAGTTTGTCAATTTTGGATTGCGTCTAGATAAACCTGTCAACTATCAGCAAAATGTAAAAGAATACAATATAAAGCATGGTAACATCAGAAAGAAATAACTTCAATCGTTTAGTCTATAGTGCAACTTCCAAAGTAATATGCAAAGGAACGGCAATGTTGATGTGAAAATAATTATGGCATTTAGATTTGTTTCTTAGATTTTTCGTGGTTTAAGTCAAAATATCTCTTGTTTGGAAAACTTTTCTGGTCTTGTATTTTTATACAATTGCGATTTATGTCTTATTTGTAGCATTTGAATTAGATGGAATATTGTTTTAATATTAACTTTTATTTTTATTATTTTTAAGTTTTAAGTTAATTTAAATTAAATTTTTTCTAAAATTTTCTTCTGATGATATGTTCTTTGACATCAACATCTACACCCAGAATATCTAGTAAAAATATTATATCTCACTCATTTTAATGAATTAAGAAAATATAAAAAAATAATGAAAAAAAAATTCGCAAACCTAACGTAGTATTGAGATAATTAAATACATAACGTAAATTTTCCTGTTTCTAACTTTTTTTTTTAGCTTAGCTAAATTTTGGTTTTGAAAAATATATGACTTTATGGGATGACAATCTTAGAAACATTCTTAGACTTGATTTAAATTAGCTTAAGGAGGTTTATCTGATTTGGAATTGACGAACAAATATTCATAAAAAAAATTAATATAAGCTTATTAATATGAAGACAATCCTCAAAAAAATTATGACTAGTTTAAATACCTAAGAGACGAGATATTAATAAAATAATTTTCCACGATTTAGTAGTCTTATGAGAATGCAGATTTTTTTTGGTTTTTCCACTTAGAATGCGCAACAATTGACGAACAGTTTCCACAGCAACTTGTATAAATAGGAAACCGATATAGCGGCAACGCCGCGGTCTCGACGTAGCGTATTATTTGAAATTCGCAGGTGTCCAAACAAACAGAATGATCGAACGGGAGCGAGCGAACTCTGAGCCAAGCGCGACAGCCAAGTGCAACGTTACCAAATCTAAAGGCTTACTACTTTAGTTACTAGCGAATCTACAGAAACTTTCGTTAGACTTTAGACGTACCTCCGTACACGATAAACCTCCTTAATACATTTCAAAGTAAAAAAAATAACAAAGCAAAAATTAAAAATATGTAATAAAAAAATTAGTTGAAAGAACAAATCAGTGCTTATCACGACAAATTGTCCGATTTTTTACATGAATGTTTCAAAATGTCACTGAAAAATGAAAGCTCGTAAACTTTTGTAAATTTTAATTGGAGTATTTTCTTTAAAGTTATATCTAGGACGCTTCGTTAAAAATATACAAGGTGTTAAATTTCAGAAAATATTTTAAATTTTTTTAAGTAATTTAAAAACTAGCAAGTGAAATAATTTAAAATTGGGCACATGTATTTATGTAAACATTGTCCAAAATCTTAGGGCTTTTCCTAAAATTTGCATGTTCCAGCGGCGGAGATACAGGGTATCGGTGGCATATTTTTTCTAAATAAAATAGTACGCTACTGCTTTACGGTAACAACCATGATATTTTCGGATTCGTTTTTCAATTTTCTACAAATTACTCCCTACTCTCTTATGTTTTTCGAAAAAAGACTGATTTTCGAGTAAAACTTAAAAAACGAACTGAGAACACACTTCGATATTCGAAATAATGCTTTTTAACTTATTTGACATAAGTGCATACGGGTTAATTAAAATGGAACTGTAACAAGTTTACAGTAATTAATTATTTAAATGTGCCAGGGACATGTCTATTAATTAATGAAATGTGGATTTCAATGTCATTTTTTTTTAGAAACTTAAGTAATGTTTTTACTAGATATATTTTTACTAGGTAAATATCTTGAGTATAATTCAAGGCGGGACAGGTATTTATTGCTTTGAAGTTGCTTGTTTGGCATACTTAGATGTTGATGTGATATATGACTTTATTAGTCACTAAATACTATTCTACAATGAAAGTTAATATGAACTGTACAAGCAACTTCTCTAATAACTCCTTATACAACTTCAAAAATTTTTATTCGAGCGCACGCTAGTGTTTATCAACTTGTGAACGTACAGAAATCTTCTTGTTTGCTTGTCTCCTCTCTGCCTCTCTAAAAGAAGGAGAGTGGTATAAGATTTTAGTTGAGGTTTCTGTTAAATCACAGCTGTCCGTCAAATTCGTTTCATTTTTGCATTTTTTTTATTTTATTGTCAGTTAATAACGACATCTTGCAAAAATGAAAAATAATACAGGCTAAGTTATTTGCCACATTATTTTATTATAATACTTGAAAAAGTGGCAAACACACCCTTTTAAATTAAATTACCATTTTTTAATTGCGCCTGCAAGATTTTACAGATAAAAAATATGTTAATTACATATTAAATTTTAGGATCACTCAAATTATAATATAGACTATTAAAGCAAATTTGATATATCGTGATTGTATATATATATATATTACTCTAGTATTAATATACGGCTTAAATTTCTGTATCGGAATAAGATTCAAATTTAAATGTGAAAATCTATGTAAGAAAGTTTCATAATATATTCTCTTAAATGAAAATATAAAGGGTGTTAGAAGTTTGACTGCCTTAATTTTAACAGACGATAGAATACATTAAAATAAACAAAAAAACCTTATATGACATGAATCCTAAACGCAACTATTTCCGAGAAAAATCTCGGAACTTTTGGATTGTCAAAATCTCCAACAAAAGTTCGATTAATTAAGGAATTGACATAACTGCGTGCATAGAATACTATAAAATACAATGTTTATCACTCTTTTGAACTTCTTTACGCTTAATTCTAAAAAATAATTAGCGTTGTAATAAATTTAAAATTCGATAAAATTCATATCGAACAATGTGACAACAGCGCGGCGGTTAACACGAGGTACTCAGCAGTCCAACAACTAGCAATACGCAATTCAGTTGGTATCTGGAATTTGACCGCGACGGAGTGTTTTTTGCGTACCACTATTTCCTTTTCTTGAGGTGTTTCTCCTTGCTTTTTTAAAAATGTTTAACATACATGATAATTTTCCAGCGAGTGCGCGAAAATTGGATTCGAAGGTGTCGTGCATCGAAAATGGTGGTGAACATTTTGAGCATATGTTGCAGTTTGATTTGTACTTGTGTGTTTAAAAATTACTGAATGTTGCTTTTTGTAAGTACCTAAATTATTTTTAATACGTATGATTATTTGGACGACGTGAATCTTTGGGTACTTTAATTACATATTTTTCAAATTCATAATTTGATTAAAAGTTAAGTTCCTGTTTTAAGGGATTCATAATTACTAAAATTTGAGCTAAAATTTAAGCACGACACTATTTTCGTACTCTAAAATCGATATATTTTATTTTATTTATTTAAAAACTGGAAAACAGTTGTCTTGAAATTTACCAAATGTTTTACAATAATAGTTGTTTGCATTTTTGTTATTCTAGGACAAGTCCGCCGCGTGCACACTTGGTGTGACATCAGTTGTGTAACATTAAGTTAAGTGCCGTTGTCACGTTTTGATGAAACTCCCTAATACTCGCTGTATTTTGAAAACTAATGTTACGCCCCTCTAATACACAACTTTTTTGTTCATTTGTGATTACTCTATCTCATGCTGAAGTAATGGCAGTCAAACTTCTTACACTCTGTATTTTGCTTTTGGTTTCTTGTGGTTTATAAGATAAAGCTATCGACATATTTATATGCAACACCCTATATAATATTATGGATTAGCCGCTTCGGAAATATTTAACGATTTGTTAAATCATTGACAGCTGAACAGTCTGTAAGAATCTATACCAAACAGTTTTCAATTGCAGATGAATATTTAATTCTAGGCAGATAATTTATTTCGTCGCAAAAATTATTTTACTGGTTTGGATGGAAAAAACAAAGCTAAAACTGGGAACATGTTCTTTTATTTAAAATTAGATAGATAGTTACTTTTTCTAATAAAGTTGTACGAGTTCATTAGTTTTCAAGACACAAGAATGAATCGATCACGTTTTTTAAAAATAATGCATGTGTAAGTATTATCTATAAAAAATATTTAAAAAAATCGAGATAATTTTTTTTACCCAAAATGTAACAGGATTTACACAAGTAACGTATTTTATGTGGTTAACCTGCAATAAATTTTGTTTAAATATCTTTTCTAATTTAACGTATATATTTTCCTTGTTGAAGCAATTTTTTATAAATTTTACTGCTAATGCTGTTTCGTGAATTAGTATTTTAATGGCCACGCAATTTAAGTTTTCTTAAACTATTTGTAATCACGATTTTAAACTTACCCACTACAAATTAACTCGGTATTTCATAGGTAGCTAAAAACTGGAGTTATTTTTAAAAAATCCTATGGGTAGCATTGAACAAATAGAGCCTCAAAACAATCCACCTGATAAAAAGGCGTAATTTGTGGGAGATGCAGACGCGCGTTTGGGATTTCTTCGCGTTCGGCATTGTTTTCAACATTCTCACGCACAACCTCGACCGAAACGTTCGTCTTTGCGGTAAAAAAAGGTCGTCTACAATATGCGGTGTAAAATATGTCTCTATTATAGCCGATTAATTATTTTAATTAAGGGAACAAAAATACCTGATGATAAAAGTTAGTATGTATTATTTTTTTTTTAAATTAGTCATAAGAGAGTGGAAAATATTATGTTGAATGTTAATGACAATTTTTGACTAGAGAACCTTTATTTATATATAGAGTTAAAAAAATATATATAATATTTCGAAAGTACTCCAAAGAAATAAGAGAAATGTTCATATGCTTAGCTTTCGAATGGTTCCAATGGGTTCACCAAATCAATTCAAATTTGGTACACGACATTATCTAAGTCTATGCAATTTGAATAGGTGATGACAAATGAGATAATTCAG